CACGTGTGGATCCTGTGTTTGGTTCTTGGGACATGTGCCTGACCGCGATACTGCCTGCTGTTCCTGGGAGCTAGCTATCCATGGCCTACTGAAACAGCCAGTACCCGGCGCCAGCTTTCCCCCTACCAGCTCTCATCTCCTGGCTTCCCTGCCCCAGGGAGCCACACGGGTCAGGACATGCCTTTGGGGTAAGACCTGGGAACCAAACTGCCCTTACTGCTTCTACAACTCTCTAAGCCACTTTTCTTTCTTTGAGCCATTTCTCCTGGCATTGACTCCTCGTTCTATGTTGCTGATTTCGCTTCTCTAGAAAACCCTGCCTAACATAGCTAGCCTAACACAAACTTCCGGGTTAATAAGAAGAGCAAGGCTTTTGTAATAAATCTTGTGATTTGTATATTCATATTTTTCTGGCCAGGTAGATATTTTCCAGATGAAGATAAAACAAGCATTTCAATAGAATCATAGTAAACACCGTCTTGTGACGTCCACGAAACTTTGAGAGACGTTCAAAATGATGTATCTTTTATTTCTAGGAAAGCACAGCCCAGGACTTCTCTCTTTGAAAAAAGCAAGGTCACTGAACATCTGTGACAGGACTATGGGAACGTGTGCGGAAGATTTGGAGTGGCTATGGATTTGAATATTTTTAACATCCTGTATGTAATTCGTAGAATCATGAAGTGGAAAATTCACCTAGCCTAACATGGTTTTTTTTTAATAGATGAGGAAACTGATATCCAAAGATGGGAAGTGACTCACTCAAGGACTAACGTGCAAGTAAACAACACTGGGTTCAGATCCAGATTTCCTCACCATTAGTGTCAGGTATTTCCCCACAATTCATTACTGCTTCTAATTGTATCGGTGTAGGACATACTGAGAAGAGGAATATGTGTGAAATGTGAAGTTTGGAAAATTGGAAGTCTTCAACAATGAAATGGAATGCATAAAGATTGATAGTAGGCATTAGTGAGCTGAAATGGATTGGTATTGGCCATTGAAAATCAGATAATCATATGATTTATTATGTCAGGAATGAAAAATTGAAGGGGAATGGCATGACCTTGTCAAAAAGAACATTCCAAGGTCTATCCCGAAGTGCAGTGCTGTCAGTAACAGGATGAGTTCCATAGACATGCAAGGAAGATCGGTTAAGATTACTTTTATTCACATTTACACACAAACTACTAAAACCAAAGGTGAAGAAATTGAAGATTTCTACCAACTTTTTCAGTCTGAAATTGATCAAACATGCAATCAAGATGCACTGATAATTACTGGTCGTTTGAATGCATAAGTTAGAAACAAGAAGGATCAGTAGTTGGAAGATGTAGCCTTGGTGATAGAAATGGTGCCAGAGCTTGCACGATCGATCGATCAAATTTTGCAATGATCTACTCATTAGAAATACAATTTTCCAACAGCCTAAATGGTGGCTACATTTGTGACCTCACCAGACAGAATACGCAGGAGTCAACTTTACTACATCTGCGGAAAGAGATGAGGGAGGCACAGGCCATTAGAACAGGGCCATGAAGCAACTGCAGAATCGAGCTTTACTGGCTCATATGCAAATTCACGTTGAAGCTGAATAAAATTGAAACAAGCATGCGCCGTTGTGAGGATGGCGAAGGACCGGGCAGTGTTTTGTCTTGTTGTGCACAGGGTCGCTATGGGTCAGAGCCGACGCCGTGGCACCTAACAAGGACAACAATTAGGATGTTGGTGAAGAATATTGACCATCAGCTGCCAAAAGAAGAAACACATCTATTTTTGGAAGAAGTACAACCAGAATGCTCCTTAGAAGCAAAGAGAGCAAGACTTTGTTTCACCTACTTTGGACATGTTATCAGCAGACCCCGGTCCCCAGAGCAGGACATGATGCTTGGTAGAGAGTCAGTGAAACAGAGGGAGACCCTTAATGAGATGAATTGATACGGGTGGCTTCAACGAGGGGCCCAGGTGCAGCATTGGTTGTAAAGATGCACAGGAGTGGAGTCTGGTCTGTTCTCATGGGGCCCTGCGAGTTGGAAACAGCTCAATGCCACCTAACAGCACACTGCAGAGGACCATGCACTGGTCTACAGTTCAGAGAGAGTTTCTTCGTCTCGCAGGGTATTGTACTCTGAGGTCTTGATATCTTGCTGAGCCTGCCTGCCTCTGGCTGCTTCTACTCAAGCTCTGTTTTCAGCCCTCTGCTCTACTTCTAAGCGTTGGGAGAACTCGTGGCCTACTAGCTTCAACTAGCATCTCGCCTTAGCTGATTTTCAAGTCCACATGGTCAATATGCATTTTTCACGGGTGTTCCAATCCTGTATTTCCACAGAATATCTCCCAGAAGAATGAAAGGATTGAAGTGATGATTCCTTAGACTTAACTCACAGAGCAAAATACCTCCAGCATTTTTTCTGGTCTTGAGTCTTATTCTTAAACAAACAAAAAAAAAATCCCCCTAGTTTGTATGTGTGTTTGCTTTTTTCTTTTTGTGGTTCCTAGTGTCTAACACACAGCACAAGAAATATTCCATCTCTAAGTATGTTCTCATGTGAGTGTTACTAAAGGATCCCTGGTGGTGCCAGGAGTTAAGCACGGGGCCGCTAACAGCAAAGTTGGTGGTTCGAACCCATCAGCCACTCTGTGGGAGACAGATTTAAGTCTCTATAGCTCCTCCCACAGAGATGTACAGTCCTGGAAATCTACAAAGCAGGTCTGCTCTGTCCGTAGGATCACCATAAGTAAGAATTGACTCAATGACAGGGATGTTTTTTGACTGTCTTCAAAGATAGATGAGGAAAAAATAGGTACCATTCTCATTTCAGATTTACAGAAGATAAAGCAAGCTTAAAGTGGTGGAGTCACTTGCTTAAAGTCACATGTCTATAAATGGTGGAAAATAGATTCAAATCCACTTCATCTGTTCTAGAGCCTTGGGTTTTAGCTAGTGCAGCTTACTGTAACTCCGGAGCTTATCCCATTCTGTACTACCACCGTTAACTACGGCTCTCATGATCTTACAAGTAGGTAAGTACAATAAGATCTTAGGTGATCAACCTGACTTATCTAATCTTCTATCTTGTTGCCAGACTAAGCAACTTAAAACACTAGCATTATAAGTCTGTGCCGTAAAGGTGATGGTGCTTGGTACTGGACCAGTGCTGAACAGTAGCATGGGCCTTCGTATTGTGGAGCTCATTTTAAATGGATTATTTTCCCACCGCATTGACTAGCAGATCTATCTGCATCTTGTGGAGAGTAGGTTCTATATGGTACTTGGCCCCATTATTACTGTGTGAGTCTAAGCCACCTCCCATTACCTTCTCCTACAATCCTTTACTGCTATCATCTATGACCACTGGCCTCCGTACAACCCACGATGGTCCATTTCCTGTGGCATACTTCCTCCTTACCCACAGCAGGACTGTTGTGGAGGATCTGGTTATTTTCAGCTGACACCCACAGATCACAGAGAGAAGATCACTACCTACATACTTTTCTTCTTCACTCCCCGAGAACTGAATAACGTGTAAGGGACCGGAAAACCAGAGTTTCAAACTCATAGATACCCAGGGCCAGGCAGATAATGTGATGAATGAAATGGGCTGGTTGTGGAAAAAAGGTAACAGCATTACAAAATCCATATGAAATGGCACCTTCACTTTGGCATTCGGGTGCAATAGAGAGTGGTGAGGACTATGGTGAAATGGAGAAATGAGCCATTGAAAGAAGACAGCCACCACTTAGCACAAAATAACTTTAGCTATAAAGGAATATGGATTCTTTATGTCCAGATATTCCCATATTTCAAGGGTATCCAGAAATATAAATATGGAAAGTCTCAACATTTAATTCTTGGCAATTAAACCAAATTTCAAAGTAATCCTCTGTGAACCAATCATTAAAACCCATGCTAGCATATTATGTATGCTCTCTGGGCTAGAAGACCAGGGAACCGAGGGTCACTGGTGAGGGGAAATGATATAACAGTTTAGGGGACAGACTAGAGAGAGGGAAAAGGGAAGCTGCAGAAACAGAGCAAGTGGGTTTGCCGGAATCTCCAGCTCTTCTTGTGAATTCTGAAACAGGATTTGGACCCGGGACCCCTGCACTGCACTGCCCCTCCCAGATCAGGAAGCAGAGCTATGACACCACAGATGGATGGGGCAGCACCACAAGCAGGAGATAGCGCATCAGGGCTCCTGGCTCATGGAGCAAGAAAGCCCAGTGCCTTTGCACAAGAGTCATCCTCTTATCACTAGTGTAGAATGAACAAGCTTTACCCAAGCAGGGCAGAGACCAAGAGGTCATAGGGCCCAGAGGGGCTGAGGACCAGAAAGAAGTATGCCTGCTAAGGGGTAGGCATGGGTGGAAAGAAGCTGTTCTGACTGAAAATCTGTATCCTCGGCATTTCTGATCCTGAATTGTAACCTGTTCACTTCCCCTGTTCCACAGTTACAAACCCCGTAATTGTGAGCCTGGTCTGCGAGTTCTGTGTCTCCACTGCAATGGATTATCAAATCCAGAAGAGAAGCAGAGCGCCATGGGAGGGACAGTTGGCCTCAGAATTGGGAAAGAAGGTTGGAGGGTGAAGGCAGGTCTGCCCTCTGAGTCGTAGGGCTCAGGCTTTGGGCTGATGTTAGTATGATGCCAGCATGATGCTCCTTGCCCCTTGTGAAGTCAAAGGTGGTCAGACACTGCCTCCCCTCCATTCATACATGTATGTACTTGAGTGGCTTAAAACAAGACTATTGGGGCAAGAGCAGCCCCACATGGTGAGATATGTACTGTTGGCTTTACATTCACTTCCTTTTTAACCACCAAAGTCACCCTTCTTTTGCAAACAACAGAGTGTGCTTGGGTCCTTCGATTCTGCATTACACATCTTTACTTTTGCAATGATACTTCTCAGGTGAGAAAGAACCGAGAGGACACACCTCAGGCTGGTTCCTTTCCTGCTGAGGTCCTGCAACTTTGCGATAATGAGTAAATAAGACCACAAAAAGGTTTCTAATTGCTTTTATTTTTCCAGCCCACATATCTCTGCACTTCACAAACTCCTCTTGCTGAAACAAGGGAGCTCATAAGGCATTTATTAATGGCATTTAAAATGGGCTCTGATGTACAGAGGTAATAATGGTCTTCTTGGGCATGTTAATAATAAATTAAGATTACGATGGTTGCCATTTAGAGAAAATAATGAATAGATTAGTGTTAGCAAAATAACGTTAGTACTGGGAGAGGATAAGCTAGATATATAAGAACTGCAAAACATTAGCCTCAGACAACATCCTACTATATGCAATTTTTAAAACTAATCACATTCAATTGCAGAATGTAATACCTTGCACAGTGTTGGATGTAAATGCATGTTGAGTTTTATTACTGTAAATGAGTTTTATTACTGTAAATATATGTATTTACCTCAGTAATAGTTTCTGTATTTCAGATTTGTGTTTTTTTGGTTGTTTCACATAATAATATATTGTTTCTTCTGGAGAAAATAGCAGTAGCAAAAGAGAGAGAAAACAAAGTGTGGGTGTAATAAAGTGTGATTCCAACTGCAATCATCCAAAGAAGAATGCTTTGACCTTGTCTGTGTTTGTAGACCCTTCTGACAATAGGCTTTGGCCTCGTTCTTTTTATCTATTTATGTTGGCTTTGTGGAGATTAGGTCTCTAGTCACATGAACCGCCATGGCCTCACGTGCTAGACTCTGTCTTCCCGCCCTTCCCTCTTGTCTGGCTCAGGCGGGCATGCCAGGGTGATGTAACTGTTCCTCTTTCCGATCTAAGGAAGGATCTGGGCCAGGGGAGTCGACAGAGAACGCCTGGACTCAGTGGCTCCTCGGCTTCCAACTCACGGATTTCCAGGCCAACCGAGCGGCCCTTTCACCAGTGCGTACTGATTTTAGGTTCCTGGGTTTTTTGCAAGGCTCCTTTTCCCTGCTGGGATTTGATTAGGACATAATTAGACTAGAAAGGCTTTGGAGGTAGGAGGGTAGGATCCAGGAAGCACTAAGAAAGGAGGAGTTCCCTTTGATGAACTCCGGAGTCTACAGGTGCCCCCGAGTGATTCCAGTTAGGGACCAAGGATGAACTTTCTTCTTTGGTTCTTTGGCCCTTTGATTTTCCCCAGCTGGGGGTGGGATACTTGGACAGCAAGAAAGAAAGCCGTCGTATGTGTGTCCTCTCATTTCGGTCTCATCTAAACTTCAGCTTCTAGGCACCGCACTGCGGTTTTAGGTGGAATCTTGGGCTCTTCTGTCTTCTTGTCAGTTTTCTTTGATTCCTCAGTCGGATTGCTGTCGTTAGCTCGCTCCTCCTTCACTATTTTGGTTTCAATCATTTCCTTCTGCTGACTTTTGTTTGTAAATGGGAAGGCCTTCACGTACCTGTAAGTGTAAACAAAAAATGACAGTGAAAAACTTCCATGTTGTACAAAGAACAATAGAGGATGCTTTATCTATGCCGGCCCATGTTTTGGCTCAAGTCACTGGATGCTTCTCTTTCAGAGTGATGCCCATACAAGGTGGCTTCTTCAAAAAGGTTGGGGGAAATCTTCATGACCTTGTCATTCCATTTTTCGACGAACTTTTGAAGCCCCCTGGTATATACCTACTCAAATCACATGAACACATGTCACCATCATGGATCTATTTAGATAAGACTGTGAGTTCACAGGCCAAGCTGTAGGCTAACCTCACAGGACGAAAGAGCAAAATAAAGTCTGCCCTTTCTTTCCCAGCTGCCAGTCTTTTCTTCTTGATTTTAAGGGGATGGCCATTGACCTCTCTCTCAAATCTAGGTGAAATACATGTGAGGAAATACTAAGAAAGAGTAAAGGCAAGGAGAAGACGTAAGAGGTAGGAGATAACTGACATTGTAAGAAGACCAGCATCTCCAGCGTAGCCAAGAAGATGCCACAACCGCCCTGGCCAAACACAAGATGGCGCTATGACAAAGATTCCAAGGCTAGCAATGTGCAAGGACCCCACCTTTTCACATAGCAGACCGCGAGGCCAGCTGCAGCCGCAAAGAAGAGGAGGGCGAGCACAAGCAGAGTCGTGGGAACACCTGCAAGAAACAGAGACAGGCCTGTTGGTCTTCCACTGTTGATCCATGGTCACCTGTTTCTCTTTTCAAGACTCATCTTTACCAATGATTGAGACAAGAGCTGATGTCGGGAGAAGCCTTCTCTGTAGCCAAATCTGCTCCTTGGCCTCTCAGCTGTAGAATCCTTGGCCCTGCCCTTCCAGCTTGCCTCTGCTCTGTAAATTAACAGTCCGACAGATGGAGCCCATGTCCTCCCCTGGAGCTAACTGAGTGCAAGACCTGCTATAAGAGAACCAACCTGCTAGCTGCTAGAGTCTAGTGGAAGGCATTCGAGACCTATGTCCTTAAAAGAACTTCTACATATTAACAGATAAAGAATTCTATTTTTTTAAAGTCTTTGAGACCATTTTATCTGCAGAGTATTTAGTTAGATTATGGAGTTCTTCACAGCTCCAAAGTTCTGTAACTGTTTGAAAATTGATTTTGCATGAAGCCTTTACTTATCTTTGACAGGTCCTGAGCGTCCAATCTGGAGACAGGCCAATTTCTCTGTTACCTGTTCTACATAAAACGCATGATACAGAAAGCTTTTACCTCCAAACTCAGCAGCTTCCTTCTTAGAGGCCCCTTGACTTCCAATATGTAAATTGCTTTCTGTGACTGTGGTAGTTGTTTCCACGTAAATGTCTGTCATGCAGATTAATTTCCGTTTCCGTGAACTGGAAGTAGAAGCTTTAGCAGGAGCAGTAGTCAGAGCAGGAGCAGAGGAATAAGATGATGTTGAATATGAACTGTCATTGACATTGATTTTTGCTGGATATGTTGAAGTTTGAGTTTCGAGTGTAGGCTCCTTGGTGGTGAGAATTTCTGGAAGGCACGAGTTAACCCAAATATCTGTAAGAGAGAGAGGATAGAGTAAGTAAATAGTACAGCGGCCCGTCACTTGTTTTTTTCTGCCTCCACTCTTCCCTCCTTCCAGTCCTTCCACACTGAAGCTGGAACGATTTTACTGTAAATCTAACCACACCACCCTCCTGCTTCAGTCATTCGGTGACTACGTGAGCTGCTACCTGCTGGCATCACAGCCTCCTCTGAGAAAAGTCCTCCTCTCCAGGCTCCACTGAAACCCCTCTCCTGTTTGGTACGTGTTCGCGCCCATCAAAGGCCCTGGCTCTGATGCTTCCTTTACCCATCAGACTTGCTGCATCCCTCTATTTGGCTCACTTTTGATTGCGATTCAAATGTCTGATGGAACCTCTCTTTCTCAGGCAGACTGGTTGATTGATTGTGGCCCCAGGCACTTGTCGTGCTGGTTTCCATCACACTCTTCCCCACGCCCCTCCGGGGAAGCAGGGACTCTGTCTGTCTGTCTGTCTTGTTCATCATGATTTGTGCACGGTGCATGGAACACAGTACATGGTCAGTTATTATTCGATGGATCAAGAGGAAAGGGAAATTTAAGGAAGTAGAGAAGAATAAATAGACACAGGACACCCCCTTAGGAGAAGGTTCTGCCGAAATCAGTCTTCTCCGTGCTCATCAAAGAAAGGTTTTGGGTGGGGAAGGAGGGAAAAGGGAGGAGCTGGCACCAATGGCTCAATAGAAAGTAAATGTTTAGAAAAAAACGATGACAGCCTATGTATAAATATGCTTGATACAATGGATGCTTGGATTGCTATAAGAGCTGTATGAGCCCCCCAAAAGATGATCTTTTAATTTAAAAAAGGAGGTTTTAAAGAGGGAGTGGGATGGGGCTGGGGAAGTGGGAAGCAGGGCAGGGACCAGGGTTTGCTTTCCAATAGGTGACAGAGAGGAAACTAGCATTTACCGAACATGTCACTCTGAGTCGACCATGGTGCTTGGTTTTTCAGTAGCTGTTATTTAATATTTTCTCAAACTCTGATTTATATAAGAGAAGAGTAAGGTTCAGAGACACGGCCTTGCCTAAGGATCCATACCGGTCGATGGCTCTCACTGCCCCTGGGTCAGAGTCAGAGCGACCTACAGGACAGAGTAGAAGGGCGTCTGGGAATCCCGGGGAGACAGCTGCACCTCCTCCTGCAGAGCAGCTGGTGGCTTCAAACTGCTGAGCTTGCAGCGCGCCCCCAGTGGGTACCCAGGGCTCCTCTAGAGGCACACACTATATCGTTACATCAGATGCATCGGATTTTAATCCCTGGGAATTTGTGACAGCAGTCGGTGGCATCTGCTGGGACCTAAGCTGTCAAGCACATTTGTAAATGAAGATGACTGGTTTTGAACATTAAGTAACCAATCAATCGAAGTCATGCATACTACTGATAAACCACCTGTGTCAGTGTTTGGTTCCCGTGGGCTCTTAGTCCTGTGCACTAAATTCCTCCCTGTCTTTGGTCCCTTCTTCCTTCCCCTTTGCTGCAGACGGGCAGGGACCAGTAGGTGTACCTTAGGTGCTGACCCACAAGTGCTCAAGACCCTGAAGCCTATTCATCAAAATAGGAGGTAAAACATTGTTATTGCAACTGACTGAGTTGTCCCGTAAGACTAAGACTATGGGCCTGAGCCCTTTAACCCCGTCACCCAATCCCTTACAGTGTTGGATATGTCAAGGATGTCTCCATAACGGTTCCGCCTGTGTTCTTTATTGTGCAGAAACATCGCTGTAGAACGTCCAGTAGTGTATATACTTATGCCGACAAATATACCTGTATTTGCATGCGTGCTCAAGCATACCTTCCTATTTATAGCATATACATTTTTGGTTGTTATTACTGTTTGGCAAAATTTGTATGTGTCATAACATTTTTCACAATTGTCCTTTTTCGGCCATACTTCCTCACTTACTCAGGTCAGATTGTGCCAACTTTGCACACATTTTGGATTGCCTGTCCCATTACTCTAAATAACTAATGTCTACTACTTAGCCAAAAGTGAGACCGTACAGTCTTTGCCTTTTCGTGACCGACATATTTGCCCTCAGTGCAATGCCCTCCAGGTTCATCTGTGCTATGTTTCATGGACTCATCATGACTCTTTATAGTTGCGTAGCACTCCATTGCCTGTGTGTACCGCCACTTGTTCATGCATTCATCTGTTTGTCCTGAACATTTATGTACACTTCCCATTCCAAGCATATGCTAAATTCTTCTCTTAAGAAATGAACATGTTTAAATATCAGTAGGGAACAGCATAATGAGCACAGTATACTTGGGAACCAGATATAAGGCATGGTTCCTGCTTCCCGGAGGACAGAAGTATTTTGATAAGGGAGATGGCTCTGGCCCAAAGAAGAGATGACATTTGGACCGAGGACGGAGGAGTGGTGCATTCTTTCAAGAACTGTTTCCTCTTGGAAGGAGGAAGCGCTCTGTGCCAGGCATAGTGTTAGGGATGTGACACTAGAAAGACAAATTCTCTCCTTTCCAAGGGTTTACATGCTTTGGAAGGACAGGGATAATAAAACAAAGTAAACCAGAAATTTCAGAGAATGATAAGTGGTGAGGAGAAAATTAAATAGGGCAAAGATTAAATCAGTAGGAGCGGAGGATGGGACACAGATACTTTGGGTAGGTTGATAAGAAAAGGTCCCTTTGGGGAGGTGATATTTAAGCTGAAACCTGAATGGTGAAACGTAGCTAGTCATTGAAGATCTAGGGCAAAAACATTCCAAGTAAAGAGGACAGAAAGATAAAGCTCCTGAAATAGAATGAATTTAGCATGTTTGAGGAATAAAAGACCATCGGGTTGGGATAGAGAAGTAGTCAATCTAGTATGGAACAAGCACAGCATACTCCCATCGATAGGAATAGCACGGTGCAGTCCTCTAGATGTTTGAAAGTGTGGAACGTGAGAAAGGTGGCAGTGAACACGGGGTGGCTGGAGTATAGGGTGTGTGAGAGAGGACTGGAAACACTGCAAGCAGGAGTTGAATCTGTGAGGATAGACTGAGATGAGAGTGTGAAGGCTCATGATGGTCATGTTAAAGCGTTTGGAAGTTATTTTGTAGGGGAGAATATTTTCCGCAGAGGTCCACAAACCTCCTATATGGTATGCAAAATATAAAAGAGGCCTCATGGTTTACAAATGGGAAGTCAACAAAGGCTGCAGAGCAGAAGCATCACAATCATCCTTGCAGCATGGCATGCAAAAAGGAGAGAGCTAAGAATCCAGAGTGTCTGGAACCCTAACACATAGAGCTTCGAGATTTGGCCCCGGGGACAGTGTCATTGACGTAACAGAGAAACAGCAGAGAAATCGGTCCTCTTTCTCTAGCTCCTGTTTGCTTTATTCAGGCTGGCTATCTAATAATCCCGCTGACAAATGGCAGGAAGGGCAGGCAGCTAACACACAGAGCTATTGGACAGGCCTGGGATATCAATAAGCTAATAAGCAGGTATGACATAATAAGGAGGCAATTCCCCAGCCAACGGTTATGAGGCAGAAAAGGGAGATGATGAAGACACACACACACACACACACACACACACACACACACGAAGCAGCGCATGTTCCAGAGGTGGCTCTGTGATGACTGACTGTGGCACATAAGCATGCGAGACCCCTCTTCTGAGCGACAGCCGGTGTCTGTGGAGTGAGGCATTGAATGAAGGGTTTTGAGAACCCTCCTGAACAAGACCAGAGAGGAATTATACTAGAGTTTAAACTCTGAACACCCAGTTTGTAGAAAGCTACAGATGACAGTAAAAGCCCAAAATTCATTTGCAGGGTTTCCAAATAGTATATTAGAAAGTGGATTAATGCAGATATAGTTAGGTTAATTTTATTACCTTATCATTTGTTTTCACTTTTGATTCATTTTAAATGTATTCTAGTTTTTATTTTCTTCTGCTTTCTTTTGGATTGAGTGTTTTTTTTGTGTGTGTGGGGGGGGGGTTGTTTTGTTTTACATGATTTTGTTCATATGGAATCCAGGATAGGCAAATCTATAGAAAGAGTAACTACATCAGAAGTTTCTTAGAGTATGGCAGGGGGGCTTTGGGAGAATGAGGAATCATACTTAGTAAATCATACTAATAATAATGCATATAAGAATGAAAAAGTTCTAAAATCGATTGTAGGGATAATTGTATAACTCTTTTTAATATTTCTAAGCCCTCAAGTTGTATAGCATGTGGGTCATATGCCAATAAGACTGTTAAAAAAATGAAGAGTGGATCATCTTAAACATGTCAAATGGACCATCTACTTTTCTCTATTGTAAAGGGGTGTGGGGAAAAGCCTAACTTCAGTGTTAGACTTGAGTTTGGACCTTTACTGTTGTGGGACTTCTTTATCTGCCAGATGCAGTGATAAAGTTTACCCTAGGAGTCAGGGAGTAACACTTGCCAGTGCTCTAGTACATTGCTTTGTCCATGTGGGTGCCCTACACACATTTCTGTCCTTCCCTTCTTCCTGTTGATCTCACGGGATGGGTGAGGGAGTGAATGGGGAAAGAGGCAGGAATGGAGTATTTTGGGGACCTTTGCCCTACGTTGCCATTCAGTCACATTTTTCCTAATTTAACCTCTAGCTGGGTCAAGTAAGTTCTGATACACTCAGCTACCAACCCCAAAGTTGGCGGTTGAAACACCCCCCCACCCGCATTGTAGAAAATGCCCCAAAACGCCCTGGCCATCTGTCTCCATATGATGGTGACAGCCAAGAAAGCTCTACAGAGCATTTCTGCCCGGTCACCCCCTGGGGGCTGCCAGGAGTCAGCATCAAGCCAACAGCCATGGGTGTGAGCGTGGCCAGGTAGGCAGTCCTGGGAGGATGAGCTGGTCTTCCCCATGACTGCTTCTGCTGCCACTCAGGCGGCTCTTTCTGGACAGGTCACAGAGGTCGAGAGACACAGCGGAAACGCTCCACCTGGATCTGACTCACCAGACGAGTTGTAGCAATAGGTCCCGAACCTTTGGTGAGCGGCAACTTTCCAAGTCAGGACGCCAACCCTATTCTTCCCACACTTGGGGTTTGCGAGAATCCGAGGGATGACCACAGAGGACCCATCTATCACCCAGCCAAAGCTGTGAAATAGAATGACAGTTGAGTGAATAACGAGGAGTCACCATCCCTGTGGCTGAAAATGAACACAGACCCAGGAGGGCTCCAGCAGTGTTACTGGAACCAGACATTTCTTACCTACAAGTCTCGAAGCCCAACGTCCACGCTGTTTCTACCTGGGCTTTGCTGGCCATCAGTAGTCCCAGTAGCCTACATGCCTCCTTGGCTTCTGTGAAATTCATTTGCACCTTCGTTTTGCTCACAAAGGTGACTCCCATAATTCTGCAAGGTCCTGAGAAGGAAAGATCTGCAAAGGAATCATAGGTCCTCAGGGTGCTGTTGTCCTGGTCCCCACGCACGGGCTCTCCTTCCTAGCAGAGCATTCCTGTCTTGATGCATCGGGGAGAGGTGGGTGTTTGGCATGGGCTGGGCATTTCTCTGAGGAGGAATATGGGTGCATGACCTGATAGAAACTGCAGATCCCACCAGCTGAGGGTCCATATCCTGTCTTCCTGCAGGAAAGTGCTTTGTTTATCATACAGGCATTGTGGTTATCAATTCTTTGGATGGATGCTTCAAGTCTTTTCTAGAGTCTATAAAACGAAGGGCTGAGACTTTGCTATAGAACTCAGGACTCTGGTTAATAGACTAGTTAGTAACTCTCTAAACCAGCGGTTCTCAACCTGTTGGTCGTGACCCCTTTGAGGGTTGAGTGACCCTTTCACAGGGGTCACCCAATTCATAACAGTAGCAAAATGACAGTAATGAAATAGCAACAAAAATGATTTTATGGTTGGGGGGTCACCACCACATGAGGAACTGTATTAAAGGGTCGCGGCACTAGGAAGGTTGAGAGCCGCTGCTCTGAACCAACATAAGTTTCATTGTTGTTTGTTGCCATCAAACAGATTCCAATTCAAGGCTGCTCCCTATGTGCAGAGCAGAGCGGCTCCCTAGGGTTCTGAAGTGTGCACGTTCTGGAAGTGGGTCGCTGGCCTGTCTTCCATGGTATCTATCTCCAAGTGGTGAACCACCAACCTTTCAGGGAATTGTTAAGCGCTTCACCATCTGTGCCTCCCCCCAAACCCAAACCCAAACCTTATTGCCATCGAGTCAATGCTGACCCTACAGAACAGGGTAGAACTGCCCCATATAGGTTTCCGAGTCTGTAGATACATAGGAGAGTAGAAAGCCTCATCTTTCTCCCTCATAGTGGCTGATGGGTTTGAACTGCTGACCTTGAGTCATCACTACTGTGCTACCAGAGCTCCAGTTGTGTTACCCAGGGACTCCTAATGTGAGTTGGGGGACGCCATTATTTTTGAGATGAGCTGAAAATGATCTGTCTCTGACCATAGGGGGGCAGCTTACTCAGAAGGTCTTGGAGGGGAGGGGCAGTGATGGTGCTGACTGTTATCTGGGACAGAGAAACTAAATAAAGGTAGTAGAGCTGTAGCGTCAGACCGGGGCTTGAATCTAGATCGTGGTGCTTAGGTTAATGCTTCATCTCATTGTACCTTAGTTTCCTTATCTATAAAATCAAAAGGAGAACTACAAACTTCGTAGAGTCACTCACTCACTCACTCACTCACTCACTCACTGCCATGAAGAGGATTCCCCAGTCACAGTGATCCTATAGAACAGGGTAGAACTGCCCCTGGGGATTTCTGAGGCTTTAACTCTTTATTGGAATAGAAAGCTTCCTCTTTCTCCCAAAACTTCACATAGTGAGAATTAAATGAGTTAATTATGAAAAACTAAACAAAAAAAAAATCTCCTTTTTAGGATGGTTGCTGCCACATCGAGGGACGCAGTAAATCATAGATAACATAATTCTATGTATATGTTATTATCAAAGCATTGGTTTGAGTCTCCCAGTGATTTATCCCATTGAGAAAGTTTAGACAGTTAAACAGTTAAGATGTGAAGCATATATTTACTCAGAACCTAATGGATTCAGGAGTTCTCTTGGTGCACTCCCTTTGGATTCGGGTATTTATAGATCTGTATAAATTTTCCCAGGAGCCCTGAAGATGTAGTGGGTTGTGCATTGTTAACTGCAAGGTCAGCAGTTTGAAACCACCAGCCACTCCCTGGGAGAAAGATGAGGCTTTCTACTCCCCTGAAGATTTACAGTCTCAGAAACCCATAGGGGTAGTTCTACCCTCCCTGCAGGGTTGCTGCGAGTCAGAATCAACCAATGGCAGTGGAGTGAGGAGGATGAAATTGCCAAGCTGCACTGTATGCAGGTATATTATTCTTATTGGCCTTCATTCAATCTCCTACCTAATTGCTTATATACAACTCTGTGCATCATATGTCCAAGCAAATGCCTTGACCATTTTCTAGATCTGTTTCTAAAGGAACTTTCTTCCTGTAAACATGAAAGGGAACATTTCTAAGTTCTCCAGACAACCATGCTGTGTTCTGGAGCTGGGAATTGGGGACAGGAAGAAGTAAGTGAAGTGCCGTGTTTGAGAATGGCTTTGTTTGACCAGAGTCAACATCTCCTTATGAATGTGTGTGACTGGAGTGACAGAGTATCGTCTTCAGCCTATATGCACAAATACTACTGTCTGTATGGCTTTGGAGGGTGAGCGCTAACCACAAAGTCAGATGTTCAAAATCTCCAGCTGCTTCACGGGAGAAAGTTGAGGCTATCTACTCCCATAAAGATTTACAGCCTCAGTCACTGTGATTTTGAATGGACTCATGGCAGCTTGGTTGGCTTTATTGGTTTAATATCAGTATTGAGAGGGGGGCCTGGTGCTGTAGTGGTTACGCATTGGGTTGTGACATGAAAGAGCAGCAGTTTGAAACCACCAGCCCTCCCAGGGAGAAAGACATGGCTTTCTACTCCCTTCAACAGTTATAGTCTCCTGAGGGTTTTTTTGTTTACTAGTACTCAGGTTAATGCTAATATTAATACTAATACTCATCATCCTTTGTTACTAGACAGCAGACACCAGGCACTGTCTTTTTCTAACAGAAAGTTGAGGCTCAGTCAGGGAGAGTGAGTAATTTTCTTAAGCTCAGTAACCTAGAGATCCTGGGTGGCAGATTGGGGGTACAGGTCAATTATACATGATCCTAAAATCCCAGATCTTAACGATGCCATTGTGGTATCTCCTGCTGTGCTGTGGGTAGAACATATGGGCACACAGCTAGAGCTAAACTCTTCCAGCACATCCCTTGTCCTGGAGCGTGACTCCTGGAATTCACGAGCTTGCTGACTACTGCTTTGGGAATTGCCTGTAGGAAAACCCCATTAATTACTTCATAGTGTGGCTTTGCTATTCCCTCATCATACCCCCTTTTCACTGTAAAAACTATTATTTCTAGTAGGATAGACCTATTCTCAAAAGTGCATTTCTTGTTTGGCTGCAAACCAGAAGATTAGTTGTTCGAAGCCACTAGCTGCTTCTCGGTAGAAAGAAGAGGCTTTCTGCTCCCACAAAGATTTACAGTCTTGGAAACCCACAGAGGCAGTTCGACTTGGTGGTATAGGGTCACAGGAAGTTGGAATTAACTGATGGCAGTGAGTGAGTAGCTCCCAGAAAACAGACCTGGCTTTGAATATTCCTTCTGCCGTTTGCTGGCTGTGGGCCTTAGGCAAGTCAGCAGTCTCGATGATAAAACAGGGATCGTTCTCTCTTCCTCAGAAGGAGAAAACTTCCATCCAGCAGAGGCACGACTCACAATAGGCAGTCAGCAAATAGAAATCATTTTATTCTTTGTAACTTGGCCTCTCTAAGCCTCTTATTTCTTCATTTGGAAAATATCTTGAAATGATTGAATGAATTGATATACATACACATAAATAATCTATGTGCCTACATTAAAAAAACCAACCAACAAAAAAGCCCTTACTGCCACAGAGTCAGTTCTGACTCCTAGCTACCCTGTAAGAGAGGGCAGAAGTGCCCTCGTGGCTTTCTGAGACTGTAACTTCACAGGAGTAGAAAGCCTCACCTTTCCCCCTGCTGAATTTGAACTGCTGACCTTGCAGTTAGCAGTCTAATGAGTAACCCATTACCCCACCAGGGCTCCCCTGTGCACATAATAGGCTCTCAAAAATACTGGTTCCTGTCTACCCTAGATTAAGAACCGTAGTATCCCCCCAAAATGTTCTAAATCCTCATTTTTATACCCATGGTCATAGGCCCCATTTGGGAATGAGCTGTCTTGTTAACGAGGCAGGATTACAGTAGGGTGTGTTTTGAGTATTACTTTTGAGATCAAAAAGAGATGAAACGAGCAACCTCAGAACCCGACAGGAGCAGCGCTACCCTGTCCTACAGGGTCACCTTGAGTTGGAAACCACCCGATAGCAGTGAGCTTGGTTGGGAGTAGTAAAACCCTAGCTTACTTTGACGTGGCTGTTGGTAGAATTATGGAGGTCAAAGGTAACTGAGGTGGGGGCTCAAGCAGAAGTCAGGAGAGATATTAAAAAATGATCATCTTTGAGAATACGTAAGGTACCAGCAACAAAGGTTGCGAGAAATGAGGGCATTAAATACGCTTTTAGTAAGAATTTAAAAGAAAATGATAAACATATGATTGCACACTGGAGGAAGGGAGTTGCAGTGGCAGAAAACCTTGCTTGGATGATGTTCAAATGTTTGGTAGAAGGTAGAACTGGTAGGGGATGAATGTGCCTCTCTGGCTGATGAAAATATTCCTTGCCGATTATAGTAAATTGTAAGAAGAGAGAATGGACTTAAGCATGGACTGTGTAAAAGGGAAACAGAACTTAACGATTTGGAAAATGCTGTAGTACACACTAAAGACACGTGGCTGGGAACATTTCACCAAGGATGTGTCTACACCGTTCTTTCTTCTGGAGACTAAGCTTGTGACTGACGGATCTAACCAGCAACGACGGCAGAAAACTCATCAGCTTCGACAGAAGGGGACAGCGAAAGAATGAACAATGAGAACACTGTCCACCTCTTGAAACACTACAGGCAGGAAACTGGTCGAAGGAGCTGCACCTGCTAGCCTCCAAGGAAGGAAAAGGCCCATCCCCGGGGCAGTTCTGAAATCAGCAGGACTGTTGAAAGGAGCCTGGGAAGCAGGATCTTCTTGGTTTCAAAGGGCGGTGCCATGGTCTCCTGGATCTCAAAGAATGGGTCTGGCTTTGACACCTCAGTACTATTAAAGTGTGGCAGGGGAATGGAGCCGCTGCCCAAAGCTGGGGTGTGTAGCACTGTGCTCAAGGACAGGAGAATGGAGCCTGCCAGGACTGAGTTGGTGGGTTGACATTCAGATGGACTAGGAGCCATCTGGAAGGTGGAGCTGAAGTCCAGAGCCGAGGGCCCTCCATCCAGACTACTCCAGAGAGGTGGGCCAGCAACCAGAGTCTAATGAGCAGGGCCATTAGCTCAAAGCAAACAACAAACAAAACCCCCCAAATCATTGCCATCGCGTCACCCTATGGGGCAGAACTGCCCCTGTGGGTTTCTGCGTCTGTAACTCTTTACAGGAGTAGAAAGTCTCATCTTTCTCCTGAGGTTTTGAACTGCTGACCTTGTGGTTTGCCGCCCAATTTAGAAACCACTGGGTCACACACCGGGGCTCTTGGGCCATTGCCTAGTGGGTCTTGAAGAGCAGAGGATAATACTCGAGACTTAGGAGCTACTGAAGTTTGTTCTGCTGGGACTTGGACTTAACTGGTGCCCATTATCCCTTCCTCCCCAGTTTCTCCAATTTGTAGTGGAAATGCCCACCTTGTGCCTGTTCCACTACTGTGTTTGGGAAACAGATACATTCGAGATCTCTCACAGGTTCACAGATGAAGACAAAACTGCCCCCAGGGGAAAAACAAAACTGTCCCCCCCCCCCCGCCCCCCATGGAATACATCCCTAAAGCCTCTCCCATATTTGACTCAGAAAATGAGATTTTGGATTTGGCATTGATATTAGACTTTTGGAGTTTATGATGGATGGAGGTGTTTTGCATGTAGAAAGGGCATGAACTTGGGGTGGGGGGGGCAAAAGGTGGAATGGTATGAATTGCATTGGGTCCCCCAAAATAAACCCAAACTCACTGCTACCCTATAAGACAGGGTAGAATTAACTGCCCCTCTGGGTTTTGGAGACTATAACTCTTTGCGGGAGTAGTAGAAAGTCTCCTCTGTCTCCCTCAAAGTGGCTGGTGGTTTTGAACGGCTGGCTTTCAGATCACAACCCAATGTGTAACCGCTATACCAGACACCAAGGCTCCTGCCCCCTAAAATGTGTTTTAAATCCTAACCTCTCCACCATGGTATTAATTCCATTTGGGAATGAGTTACTGTTATGTTAATGTGGCAGGTTATGCTTGGAATTAATCTCTTTTAGATATCTAAAAAACTCACTGCCATGAAGCCGATATTGACAATTAACGATCCTAAAGGACAGGGTAGATCTGCCCTGTGATTTTATGAGACTGTAACTGTTTAGAGGAGTAAAAAGCCCTGTCATTCTCCTAAGGAGTGGCTGACGGTTTCAAACTGCTGATCTTTCAGTGAGAAGCCTAACACTTAGCCTCTAAGCCACCAGGGCTCCTTTTTAATGTATAAAGGAGATTAGACAAGCAAAGTGCAAGTGAGGTGGGCTCAGATCTAGGCCAGGACACATGGAGATCGCCAAGGAACCAGGAAGCAGACATGGAAGAAAAAAGGACCTTTTCCAGAGAGAAAAAGTCTTCCTCTAGAGCCAGTACTCCGTATTCAGACTTGTAACCTCTTAAAGTGAGAAAATAAGCTTCTGTTAGTTCAAGTCATGCCACGTGTGGTGTTTCTGTTATCGCAGCACTGGAAGGAACTAAGGTACAATCCCACCTCCTGACTGCTTCAGCCATCTTATTCCTCAATTATCGTTCTGAGTAACTTCTGGTTCTTTCAAAATTTTAAAGAAGATTTGTGTCTATTGAGGATGATGCATAGATTGGGAGTCATGTGTAGTCTGCCCATGGGGCGTCACAAAACAAAATGTATGTGAAAGTTTAAAAAAAGGAAAAATCAATCATTATAGCCTCTCTTATAAAATTAACACAATCTATTAATCCATGCTGGACCTGGACTTCAATTCTGTTCTCAATGTATCTTATGCCTCAGGGCATTTTCCAGCATAAGAACACACAATTTTCCTTTAAGAGCACATGCATACTCATTTGCCCACTCTATTCTAAGTGCTTTAGTGGTTGCGGCTTTTTGCTTATAGTGCAGAATGAGGTTTCCATTTAGGTATTTAAAAAATCAGAAATCACTTTATCTTTGTCATTCTTTTGATGGGAAGCTCATGGCTAATTTTCCAACTGACATTTTCTAAGAATTTTTTTTTCTGCTGGTCATTTGCTACTTTTTGCATCTCAAAAGATTGCATCCAATCTATCATATAGCAAAATGAGAACTGAGTCCATCTGTTGAGACTTCCAAAACTATAAAGTAGGCCAACATTTAGTGAGAGGTACCCTGGTTGCCCAGGGCTTATTGATAACTTTAAAATGTTCACAATCATGGTTTGTTTCTTTAATGAAACACGTTTAAGTTTACTCTTGATCTAGCAGTTAATGAAACCCTTTAAAAAACAAATGTCTCCTCTTTTCCAAAGTATTGTCTTGAGAAATATTCCATAACTAAAAATAAAACTGAAAATGCTGCAAAATGAAGTATAAATCATCTTGTTGAGAAGTCGAAAAGCTCAAGCAGAGCTACAGTAAGTAGATATTCCTTTGAAGTGGAGGCCCCCGCTGACTCCCTTCTCTCAGCAACACACAGCACGAGCTCACTGGGCTCAGGGCCCTTTGCAAGCGCTTGGCCTCCTTCAGGGAAGAAATCATTAGGAAACTTACCTTCAATTCGGAGAGAGCTTTGAACCAGGAGTCTTGTGGTCCAGATGGAGGCAAGGAGCAACACCACAGTGAGGCACCTGGCCATTGTGCCAACCCCTTCAGACTCAGGGACGCACCTCTGTGACTGGGAGTAACAGAAGCAGCTACTCAATCACCAGATGGAGACTGCTGGAAGTAGGGAGGACCCACTGCGCTCCACTTCATAACAGAGGCATCCGGAGTTCCCTGCTTTCAAGCTTCTGGCTTGCTAAAGTCACTGGGGGAAATGAGTGACATCCCCTGACCAGGCTGTACTTTATGGATGGCGCTCTGGAAACTTTAGCTAATGCTGACTCAGAAAACACACAAATGAGGAAGGGCGAGAGCACAGTGTGCGCTGTTGAGGAGTTTTCCAAGTCTCTGTTTCCACCATGTAGGATCCACTTTCTATGGAGTCCCTTCTTTCTTTCTTTTTTTTTCTTTTCATTAAAATTTTTTTTTCTAATCATTTTATTAGGGGCTCATACAACTCTTTTTAAAATATATATTTATTTATTTTAAGTCTTTTATTAGGGGCTCAT